CCTGCCAGACATGGGCGTCTCGGGTCCCTGTGCACTGGGTGACAATGACAACACGGCCTGGGGGTCCACAGCAGGGCGCTCAGACAGGTGAGTGGTGCTGTAGGCCTGGGCGGTGGCCTTAAGGAGCCATGAAGACAGGCAAGGGTGCTGGCGTCAGGCCCCAGACTGCGGGGAGCCATGACAGCACCTGCCTGTGTCCCGCCTGCGCCCAGGGCCCCTGCCCCCTCCAGGCCCAGCTCCCCGGGTCTCCCTGGAGCCTTGCAGTCTAGCAGCAGCCAGGGGCTCCGAACATCTGCCCGCACTCCGCCCTGTCGCTCCCTGTGCCGGCAGCACCCTCCTGCCTTGGCTGGGGCTTCCCGCACCCCTCAAAGCAGAGCAGCACCACCGTGGGGGCTCCCCTGGTCCCTCCAGACGCAACAGAAACGCAGTGGTAGCCGCACGGTGCTGTTGGGGGCCGTGGGGGCCGTCGGGTCACAGCGCCCCCGTGGACAACAGCCCCCAATGCTGCCCATCCCGCGCCGTGCCCACAGTCCTTGTGGTGCCTGGGCCCACTGTCGCGGCCACCGTGTCCGGCCATCTCGTGGAGGGTCCCCCATGTTGTCACCGACCCCGCACGTTACCAGCCACAACGTCCTTTAGTGCTTGGTCTGATGACATGTCCTAAGGAATGCGGCCAGAGCCTCGCCCCCCTCGCTCCTGGTGATACGTGGTGATGCGCGGTGACGGCTGGCCTGCTGACCGGCCACTTGGTGCCATCACCCACGTTACAGACGAGGAAACTACCGAGGCTCAGGTCTCAGCATTAGTAAGAGGGGGTACCGCGGCACCGAGGCCCTGGCCCGTGACCCCACACTCTGGGCTGCTGCCCGCCTCTCCGCTGCCACCTCGGTCCCTGCCCGGGGCCTCCAGTCTCCTCTCCTCACCCCTTCCCCAGCTGTGTCTGTCCCGCAGCCTGGCACGCAGAGCCGCTTGTGACTGTGAGCATGTTAGGGTGCGGCAGGGGGTTCACCCAGAGCGTTTCCAGCCCCCATCCCGCAGGGCCCTGGAGCCCCGTCCTCACGGTGTCTGCCACACGGGCGGTCAAGGCTGGGCGGGCGCAGCCAGGCACCTCAGCCCTGGCAGCAGGGCCCTTGAGGAGTCCCGGGCACCGAGCCCAGACCGGAACGGGCACCTGGAGAAACATGTGCCTGTCCCCAAGACACCGGCAGCACCAGCCTCCGGCTCCATCTAAACACGCGTCCGACCCGACTGCTGCTCCCCGCCCTCCAACGGCTCCACCAGCTTCTCAAACGGGGCTCCCTGGCACCCCGTTGAGCCGCGGGGGTGAGAAGCGAGAAGGGCTCTGTTGGCTGTGGCTCGAGCAGCGTTCCCAAAGATCCGCTGAAGAGCTCGCTCTGCATCTGGAGGGCGGGAAGCGGTGGGAAACCAGGGGCTGTCTTTGCAAATGCTGTCCCCCCACAAAGCTACACCAGGGGAGGGTGTCGTCATGGCAACCTCTTCTGAGTGGCCACAGCAGAGAGCAGACAGGAAAACAGAGTCCCACGGAGACGAGGCCAGTGCGTGTGGGTCTGTCTGCGTGCCCAGGAGCACAGGAAGCCACCGGAAGC